GCGCCATCCTGAAGGAGGCACGGAGAACAACACTCGTCTCGGTAGACAGTGTTTCGGCATGCGTAGAACACGACCGAGCCATCGTAGTCGATGATGCTGGATGTTTTCCCGGATTGATGTGCCTGCAGCACAACCAAATACCCGTTTTCTAATCGCCTCGTTACTGACACGCTGAGGCCATTCACAACCAGCCACGCTTCTGAGGCATCGGTGGTCGAAAACCTGAAGACGCCTCCCATCATCTACCCGCAGAGGCCATGTCTCGCACGTATACAACAACACTCTTAGATTACGATCACGGTGTTGTGAGACAAGAACAACCAGCTTCAGAAGTTCGTGACGGAGGGGACATGATGTGAATCACTTTATCAACACTTTCAAAGCGCGTCGAACTTGGACCTCAATTCCTTGTTTCAGACATAGTACACATCAATAGGCCTGTACGTAAATGGCTTGCGCAACCTCTTATTTTCGAACGTGCATAGACTGCTGGGGTCATCTTGAAGTATTGTGGCCGAGCAAAGCACAGCTGTTGCCACTAGCTTTGAATGGGACTGCCAGTAATTAAGGATGAGCCCACAGAAATAGCGTTGGTGACGAGGTAGAAAATCGGAAGAAAAAAGTAAGTATCAAAATTGGCCAGTTTTTTGTCCATCCACCTTGATGTACGCAGAAAGCTAGATAAACCGGTTGATGACATCAGGCGACGGTCGCCGTGACGTGATAATTTTTGGTTATGGGATTCACGTTTGCACGTGAGCTGAGACCACTAAGGTAGCCAGGACGATTGGGGTTCCCAGCCAGAGCCTTCGGTTCGAAGGCCCAACAGTGTAAGACCGTTAGAACAACCTAAGGGTTTACAGAGTTGCCGTATATGCAACAAAGCCCAACCTGAATATTGGTTAGAAAGCACCAGCGCCACTCTTCCTTTAACACCAGGTTTGCGCTTTGTAAAAAAGAAATCGTTCAGCCATGGCACCCTATCGGTGCCTAGCTGCGATCCCAACGGCAGGACACACAAGGGCTGAGATACTGACAGGTGGCCCAAGCTTAGACAGCAGTCGAGATGATGAGGTTGGGTTCGATCCACGGACCTTCTGGTCCGTAAGCTAGCGCCTTAATCACTGGGCCATCTCGAGTTTCGTAAAAGAAAATATGCATAGCAAGAGTATTTGTACTGTATCGATAAGAGGAACAAGGTGCATTTCATCTGAAACAAAAAGGAAATAAGATTTTGATCAGTAAGGATTGCATAAATGAGTCAAAGGAAAATGGAGGCAATCAGGACCTAACAAAAACAATGAAATGAAAAAAAGCACTCAAGTGAGGAAGTAAAGCATTCGTACATCAAGTTGTTTACCGACTTCATTTTTACCCAAACCACACATCGTGGAGGAAAGGATAGCTACGTATTCAAGGTGCTATCTTAAACTAGTTCGCCGTAGAGAATGCTAGTGAGCAGTAAAGGGGTACTTTTTATTGGCCTGGAATCGGGACCGTCGCTTATACGGACAAAAATCCTTGTGATTAGAAAACTTAGGTTCAGCCATGTATCTGACCGATGACCTGCCTTGTCCCAGGGAAGCCTACAGGTGCCGACATTGCTGAGCAAACCGGTTATGACTTCCACGTTGTACCGCCAATCTATGATTTGAAGTGGAGCACATAAAAGCGGAAATTATGTACGAACCATTTATTTGAAGATAGATTTAAAGCCAGTGACACAATACATACAGGTTGAAAGTCCTACTTTTCTTCCCATCCTTCATTTGGATGTCCCTTCCTCATGGCTGTATGGTGATTAAGAACCAAAACTACCAAGGTATGACGAGGATGAAACCCTCTACGAAGAACACCATCTTATCACGCAACGTGTGCCAGATCTTGAGATTGACATGAAGCTTAAATCAGAGCTGTACAGGAATTCAAGTAACCCGTTCTCCAGTATCTAAGTTGAACGATTGAAAAGATTGCGCCGTGCACCTGCCACATAACAGTCGCATTGATGAAGTATCATAGAATGCGGGTTCCCCTGCAGCTCTGGAGTAACACGGGATCATGTCTTATATCTAGTGTTGACGATGGCTCCCACACACTTTTCAAAATAAAGTGTTCACCCGCACTATTATGGTGCACCTAACATTAGCGTTACCAGCAACACAGCCGCAAGAATGTAAGAACGTGAGAACAATTTAGAACCCCTGTCCAGCGAGATAACAGATATTAACGAGATAATCGTTCAGCTGCAACATACTCTCAGTGCCTAACTGCTTACCATCCGAAGGAAGCACGAGGGCTGGGATGCTGCCAGGTTGCCCAAGCCCAGACTAAGGAAGTCGAGATACAGAGATAGGGTTAGAACCACGGACCTTCAGATCAGTAAAGTTCACACTCTAGCCACTGAGAGTTTAAGCATCATACTTCTACCCCCCTCCTAACCTATAAGAGGTTTAAAACCCCGAGTAAATCCATCATACCTACGGCAAAACACCAGTGATGCAAAAAGAAATTTTTGCGGTGGAACCTTGCACAACTTAAACAATAGCTTGTATCAGTGCGTTATCGGTGGTAATATTTTTTTGCTAGGAAATGGAAACATGAAGGACTCACATGTTAAAAGCCACCGTAATTGGGACGACGCCAAGGTTCAGGGGCGAACCGTGGCCGAAATTCGGGTGCATGGAACCGTGGTGGGGGTCGGTAGCGTGGGGGCATTCCACGAAAATTCCATTCACGTCCGTTATAGCCGGGATCCATCAAAGGCCGAGGGTATGGTGAAGGGCCAGGTGATGACTTGAAAGCGACGGGCATAGCAGGACTTGGCATTGGAGCGCCGTCATCTACGAAATCCGGGCGCACTGGGCGACCACGAGGTTGAAATTGTTCAGGGTGATTGACATAACGTTCAAAGCCACGGTCTTCAACTGCGTTGAAACGCCGATTACGACCAGAGAGTAATGGGTGATGTAGATCGGACGCAAACCTTTTTCGCGCCGGCGAACCATAGTCATTGTCGGACTCCCTACCGCTAAAGTTACCGACAGGACGACGGGCGCACAGCTGACGTACCATGTTGATTACACGTTTATCTATCTCTTCCGGTTCAGCTAGTTGCTCGGGGCGCAAACAAGCACGAACTAAAAGTGCTTCAAGTGCAGGACGCAATGCAAAGATGCGGGCTGCGGATGTAAATTCCATCTTCAATGGGATCCAATCGTCTAGCAAAACCGTACCGCGTCGATCAGCCGAATTAGGGTCACCATCCTTCCACGTTGCCGTTCGACAACCGAACAGCATCAATTGCAAAGGATTCACCATAGTAAGTCCTTTACAAGAAACTGCTTGTGTGCGAATCTGGGGAAGGAAACAAATGTAACAAAGGAAGATGGTGGAGGGCCCAAGGCAACAAAACAAGGCATTTCTGAATGAGAGTCGTCCGAAAGTGAGTAAACAAGAAAAATCCAAAACAAAAGGCTGTTCGCGATTCCTGACCCACCCGAGCTTAAAATAAGACAATTGTTAGCCATGCCGTTGTGATAAGCTCCGGCTGGTAAGAGCCAATAATCACCAATTTCATGAGGAAAATGAGATGACTAGTGATTTTTATGGACTACGCACCTATGAAGTCCAGTGAAAGTAACACCGAACAGACTCCAGAGCCGAACATTCTTCCCGATGCAGTCCCGGGTCACCTGTCCAACGCTTAAAAAACAGGCTTTCATTGCCATGATTCGATCACAGAAAAAAATAAAAAAGCAAACTCAGCAGCTATAAACGATTTTTCGGTCGGTACAAAATATTAGACATGGAATCAGGGTGTACAGATTAACTGCGTTAACTAACCTTCTCATCGAAGACAAAGAATGGATGATCAAACTTGATCGCCACATTAGAACAGTTAACGGAACCTTTGTGCGTCAGTGCCACTGTGCCCTCCATCGTCAGCAACTTCCGCTTTTCAACGTGATAACATATGTTCGGGTACAAACCGAGTGTCAGCAAGGAAGATAGCATATCGCAGTCGATGTTGTTGGACACATTAAAATTGATGCCTGAATCTGATAAAGATTCCTCAGGGAATGCGAGATTAATGAGAATCATTCGAATCTGGAATAAAGATTCACAAGCAGAAAAGTCAAGAACTAGTGTCGGGCGAGAATGGTTGGCCACTCTTAATTGACAAGAAAGAGTGGCATATAAATCAACGACCTGGCGAAAAGTTATTCAACCTACAGAAGACACCGAATAAAAAACGTTTTGCGAAGAACACTAACCAACTTTACAGTCCAATACCCTCAGTGACCGCCTCGTAACCCACATTTCGTCAGGCATTTGCAAAACATTGTGCACCAAAGTGAGGAGGTGTGCGAAAAAGGATATTCTGATGGGTACGGTAGCTAACCGTGATAGTTGTAATATAGCAGTCAGTCCGGAAAACGCCATCGCTCCTACGGGTAGCCGCTCTTCGGGAAATGTCTGCAGTACTGTGTCCTTTCATGACAAAAGGCATAAATCACGGGTTTTCAGAGGAATTTACCGGAAAAGTTACGAGAGTTTACATCGTTTGAGTGTCGTCGCGCCACTCTAGAAAGGTGAACTTCGCTTCGTTCCAAAAACAAAGCGATGACTCACTACGAATACCACCAAAGGCTGTTCTTTTACGGTATTCTCTATGAAGGAGTCTCGTTTTTTCGACGTCTATGACAGGATAATTATGAATTCATAAAGGAAATTACTCACAAAGTTGTTGAAAACCTTCCGACAGCTTGCGACCGATTTCGCCCTTGTCGGGGCTCATCAGGTAGACGCAGTCCCCGAGTTTCCGTCAACCTTATCTTCTACTTGAACTCAAAATGAACGGGATTTCGACAAAAAAATCATTCAACTGTAACACTCTTTCGGTGCCTAACGAAGGAAGCACGAGGGCTGGGATACTGCCAGGTTGCCCAAGCCTAGACAGGGGAAGTCGAGAGGCGGAGGTCGGATTCGAACCATGGACCTTCCGGTCAGTAAATTCGCAAATTTCGACACTCATTTTCACATTCAGTTGAAGAATATCGTAAACGAGAGATGAGTCTCCCATGAAAACCGAGCAGATATGCAAATAAGTGTATTTGTCGATAATTTTGACTCATTTTCCGAGGACGAACCGTTTATCAGTTGTGATACCAGTGAGCAAATAGAATGCTCCCAGCAAAATTTAGGAATTGTTGAAGCATGAGTTCAGACTGCTGTAGAACAGAATACAGTGGCCATGCGACAACCACAATTTCTGTCCCTATGTTGCAAGGATTGGAATCGTCCGGTCTTTGCTGACTGTGACAACAGGACGGAACCTCACGAAATGATTCATAACCAAGCTCTGGTCCTTTCTCCACGTTCAAAAGACGAAATCGTAGTTTGCGCGTTTTTGGATGAAAAACGTCCTACAGAAAGCCGACACGAAACGCTTGACTTGCACCTTTGGAGTGGTTATTCTACGAAGTAGCTCCGTTTTGGGAGATGTAAAGTGCAGACCTAGGAAAACTAGAATATGTAAAGCCCAATCTCAAGACAATTATGCCCAATCCAAAGCACTAATCCAAGAACGAGAAATTTCGCGTCAGAATGAAGCGACGAATCCCGTCGTTAAACCAAAGCGGACAGCAAACTGGTGATTACGAAAACATTAGGATTGCTTCAACCATTTCCGAAAAAGGCAGCTTATCAGAACTAAAAAAACTCTTGTAACCTGCTATCGTTTCCAGGTAACCAGACTTCCCAGATTAATATGTCGTTCAGCTGTAGCAGTGCCTTACTGACACACCATCCGAAGGAAGCACGAGGGATGGGATACTGCCAAGTTGTTTAAATCAAGACAGGGGAGTCCAGATGCAGATGTCAAGTTTGAACCGCGAACCTTTCGATCAGTAAAGTCGCGCTCTAACCACTGAGCTATCTCGCTCTTAGATTTAATGTAAACTTCAGAAAATAATCTTAATCAACACAAAAAAACTCTTGTAACCTGCTATCGTTTCCAGGTAACCAGACTTCCCAGATTAATATGTCGTTCAGCTGTAGCAGTGCCTTACTGACACACCATCCGAAGGAAGCACGAGGGATGGGATACTGCCAAGTTGTTTAAATCAAGACAGGGGAGTCCAGATGCAGATGTCAAGTTTGAACCGCGAACCTTTCGATCAGTAAAGTCGCGCTCTAACCACTGAGCTATCTCGCCTCTTAGATTAATGTAAACTTCAGAAAATAATCTTAATCAACACTTGGAAAAAAGCATGCAGCAAGTCTAGCGTCCCACATTATTCAGCAACACTTGCATTCGGAGCTCCACAAGGGGTTCATCTTTTAACAGACTGACCTGATTGCCGGCGTCTTCCATTATGCGCAGAGCCGGTCCATTCAACTCACAACGGTCACACATCAAATCGGCGGCCTGTTCGCCCCGACGAGAGCGCTCACTCGTCCACACCTGGAAAATGTTTAGTCCAGCCAAGTGGTCACTGGAATAGCCGGCCGCAAATCGGCGCTGTTCGTTTGACAAACGACGGCGGTCAGGAGGTAGCAGGAACGGGTCGCATCCAAGACTTGCCGCAGAGGCCAGAATAGCAGCGGAACATCCCAGGTTGAAAACACAAGCAAATATCATCATCTTACCCAAACGCGGTTCGATAGGCAGACGAGCCAAAATAGACCCCAGTGGAGTGAGTTCATCATTCTTGTCTAGAGCCTTCATTTCTAAAAAGTCGGATCGGGGAAGACTACTGATGTAAAAAAACAAAGATTGGCGTTTTTGCGATTTTACACAAGCCAACAGAGAAATCCTAACCAATGCAACAGGCGGTCCAACGAATCGCTAGTTATTACAGCCAGTTTGGGATCCCTTGTTCACATTAATCAGACGCTTACTGTTTAGAACAAATGCATCTTGTGAGATCCTCAATATCAAGAGCAATATGCAGGACGCAGATCTGTACGTTCAATCGCCATTACCGATACCCTACCTGATGGTTTACGGGTATTTATAGCCAAAAAGACCTCCGCAGAAATCACAGCCATAATCACCATCCATGAGGCGATATCAGTGTTTAACACTATCACTTTTGTGGTGCGATGTAAAAATAAGGAAAACAGGCTAACATGAGATAAAAGAACAACATATGGACACTAGATGAGTTGAACACATCCGAACATTCAGCGGCCAATACAGTGCTGGTAGGAAATAAAATAATTGCATGGAAAAATCCATTCAGGCTGATCATAGATACATATTTCCTGGTTAATCGGCCCTTAGCTGATAGCTCTACCTTTTAGGGTATGTTCGGCTTCAATCACGGCGTCCAATGGTGGGGGTTGAAGTGCTTTCTTTAGAAAATCGCCGACAGGGCCCAAGCGAAGCAACTTGATCAACAGCGCCAAGTCGTGCAGAGGTGTTCTCAGTATTTCTGGAGTCGAATGCTGCTCCAAACGGTCAAAACGAGCCCGGCTATGGAGGAAAAATTGAATCATGAATAAGGTTGGGAATTGATCGCCTACTGAGCTCCACAAGGTGTCACGAGAGCACATTTTATCGTGGCAGTGCAGTTCAGCAGCAGTCACTGATTGGAAACTAACGCAGTGTCGAACAGCTGGTGCTCTGGTTGATCCGGTGACGAGTTTTTCAGAGTTGAAGAGGGGGGAAGGTGTCAGGCGCCAAACCCCGTTAGATGTAATACACTAAGTCTCCCAACGGTTGGTGGCTAAATCCAGATGAACGGGCTAAATGCTATTAGACGAGATGCGATGAACAAATGGACAAAATATCGCTATAGCGTTTAGTGTGACTAACTGAGTTCCCATGAAGGATGCGGAAATAGGATTATGAGTGGGACAACCACTATCCCCCAGAGAATCGTTTTGTCCTACCCTGCTACCCTGTCGGTAAGAAATTTTAGGCAAAGGCGAGCTAACATGAAAGCAAAGCTTATGAGTAGTTGTAATATCTTATATCGGCGCGTCATTTTCGGGAAGTTTGTACCCTGTAAACCAATAAAGAACTAGATATGATCAACTTCATTAAAAAATTCCACAATTGATTAATTTGCATCCCTTCGTTGGAACAATACAGGTTGCTCTTAATTTTCTGCCGCAAGATATGCAGTTTTATGGAGTATAGTGAACATAAGACAGGTGTCCACATTTTACCACCGCCAAGCAACGAAAAAATACGATGATATTTATTAGAATAGATGCTATTAAAGGCTGTTTCAGCCTAACCAAAACGCTTCTCACCACAAAAAATGTCGGAGATATAAGAAAGCAAAGATAGCGAACCATATACCTGCACAAGTGGAAAGCATAGCCAGGACGAACACGACCGGCACGGCCACGACGCTGCTCTAAATTCGTTTTGCTCGCCCATGAAGTGGAGTAAGAAGTCATGTTGTTGCGAGCGGTGAATAACTTCATCCGTACCAGACAAAGATCGATGACGAATACAACATCGTTGATAGTGATAGATGTCTCAGCAATATTGGTGGACAGCACAATTTTTGTCACACCAGGGGGTGGGGACCGAAAAACTAGTCGTTGATCCTCCCTTGGAACTTGTGAGTGAAGTGGAAGAATCAAGTAGTCATTGCCTCCAAATCGAGGATGAGCCTGCAGGAATTTCCGCAGCATGCTTATAATATTCCAACCGGGTAAGAAAATCAACACTGCACCTGGAATACCCATACGAGCAATTTGTTCCAATAAACATCCAACAAGATCAAAAGGTACCTCCTTCTCTGTGATTTCTCGCATCGAACGGGCAACTTCCGGCCCGTAACTGGGATCACAAATCAGATTACAGTTGTCTGCCGCTACCTCTGCCGAACTTTCTGCTTCCAATCGCCGTTTTCGCTTTTTTTCATCACAGGGTGGTGGCACGTAATTGAGCATTTTGATACAATCCTCGAGGAAGTAATCTACAGAGGTGAAGCAAGGAAATGGCATAATAGTAGATAGACGTGACGATATCAGATGTCGTGAAAAGTTAGGAATGACATCGGCTACTCATAAGTAGCCCACACTCGAGGTGAACTTAGCGTACGAACTGAGCTGAGAATGAGTCTGGGTGCTTCTGCTTCCACCAAATTCTACGGACAGAAAGCCATCTATCGATCCATTGCAAAATAGTGCTTCGAGTGTTTCACTCATTATAAGGGCTGTGTTTTCATCAAAAACGTACGGAGTGTTGGTCTTACAAATCCACCGTATATACTCAGCAACAGAAAACCGGCGCATATTTCCCGACACGGTAACACCGGTGGCGAATCTGTACACATGGCCTTGGTTACCCACTTCCTGCACAGACTCCTAGCATTTCGCTTCCCCGCCGCATGCATCCCATTTCGTTCGTGATTATCTGTTTAAGCGCTAATACAAGTCACCATACCTACCGAGCCAGCTTAAAGTCGGGCATTATCGTGCGCTGGGTCACACCAGGCAATTTGAGTAAGGAAATAAGGGACAGAAGTGGTAACACAGAGGGCAATTAACGAGTATTTAATACCTAACATTACGATGCAATTGAAACCCGTGCCGCACGGACCCCGGCGATTCCCTCTAACTACCACTTACTGACGAGTAATAATGAGTAATAATCGTCCAGCTGAAACATCCTTTCGGTGCCTAGCTGCCACCCGAAGGAAGCACGAGGGCTGGGATACAGTTAGGATGCCCAAGCCTAGACAGGGGAAGTCGAGATGCAGAGATCGGGTACGAAAAACGGACCTTCAAGTCAGTAAATCCACGCTCTAACCACTGAGCCATCTCGCCCCCTCTACTGAGGAGTGTTGAGATAGCTATCAATAACTGTCTGCCAGTCTCAACAAGTTTTTGTAATGGCATTTAGGCATATGATCTGAAACTTTAAAGTGTAAATCCTTACTTCAAGAGTCGCTACTTGAGAATACGCCCAGTAAACTTCAAAATAAAGAGCTCGAGAGTATTGATAGGTATACTTATCTTGGCACCTACATACGCCGAGATCACAGTGTAGTATATGAAGTCAATTCAAGCATCTCTGAGGAACCATAATGTTCGCCAAATTGCACCATCTGCGGCATCATAAGCCAGTACCCATGGGGTTAAAGGGTGGAATCTACGAAAAGACCGTTAACAGTCTTCTGCGATTACTATGGAACTACGGGCATGTTCAGCCTACCCTGAATCCCTAGACTCAAGAACAATTCACCTGGCCATCTGCAATTGCTTAGGCGGATTTCTGACATGCAATGTCACTCTGGACAGTGAAATTGGAACTCCCGACGGTCCCGGAGACGAACGAACGCTTCCTCATCTTCTTCATTCGTCACCGAACCGCAGGTCATGACGAACTCTCATTCACTCAGTTCAAAGATAGAGGTGAAGCCCTCAGTTGGTGCTATCCTATCCGAATGAAACGGACCTGCAAGCTTACAGGAACTATTCGACAGCGGTCATCGTACTCAAGAATGATGTTAGCACTAAATGTGACGATCAGCTTGACACCTTCATAGCCAGACTTTTTGCATCGTTTGATTTACGACAGCGTGTGAAAATGGCACCTGAGAAAAGCAAACAGGAACCCGGACCCGGAAGAGGTTGTGGACCACATCTTCACAGTCCACCAAGTGTTAGAGCAACGGCATCCATACAATACACAGTTTTGGTGTTCGTTGACTGCAAGTGTCGATTTCGTCGAACGGTTAGTTAATCTCAATAAATTGGTGTATAGGGTATGGTTTAGAAATTCGTAAATACGATTCCGTTTGTACCAACATACCTGTTGGTGCATGAAAAATGTATGTGGAGATCTCCAAGAGCTCTCCTACAAGCAGTACTGTCCAACAAGTATCCGCTCCTTCCGTTTCTACTTGATTTCGTCATTGAAGTAAACTTTGGAAGGTCTCGAAAACCCTGCTGTTCAGATTTCTGTTATATTTTTCCGGCCTGGAATACGCAGATTACATTGTCCTCATTATTGAAGAGGAAGCACAAACAAAGCTGATTGAAGTCATCCACTTTTTTAACATATGCTCCATCTCTACATATTGCAGGTATGCAGCGAGGCGTAAATTTTCAACACGCCTAAGAATGCAAGAAGTTACACACGTATCCCCGAAGGTGAATTAGCTCTGACGGCAATATGACAGATGAAGTCGACCCACGAATCTCCAAGGCCGGAATCGCGTTTGCCAACTTATCACATTTAATACCAATTCTGGTATTAGAAAGAGATAAATGGGAATGAGAGCAAGCGTATGTTGTACGGCTGAGACTTGGCCACTTCGGACAGAGGATGTAAGGCATCCTCAGGACTCTGACCACCGATGCCTCAGTTTGGTTGGAATTGGTTGGGATAAGCCGATTCGCAACGAAGTGGTCCTCATTCAATCAGAAGGTACTTCTAACAATAGTAATAACCGTTTAGCTGTAACACGCTTCCGGTGTTCAGCTGCCATGGCACCTGGTCTGGAGTGGCGGGAATCTAGACATTGCAAAACGCAACGAAAATGAGTGATATTTGCATTCCGGGATTGGACCCATGTGACCCTCCCTGTGTTTAGCTGAAAATGAACGATATGGGGTTACCGATATCAGCGGTGTTAGCGCTGTCAGTTTTTCTACCCAGATTGCCTGAGTGGGTGGTAGGGGTGTGTTGTTGTGGATGCGACGGTTTGTGCGCCTCCGTGACCCAATGAGCTGGGGGGGGGTGTCAGTGCGGCAATCGCAGTCTCTCGTACCAGGTTGGTCAATGGTTAGAAGTCTGACCAACAGTCTCCCGGCCCTGCAGGTCGGGGGTTAAAGCATGCGTGGCGACACGTTCTATAAAAATGGAAACGCACTTGAACTTCCCGCTAAACACCACTGTCTTGTGTTAAGGCTCTTGAGCCAAAGGCTTTGGTTGAGGACCTTAATTGTCCACTTGTCTAGGTGTGAGCACCCTGGCAGTATCCCAACCCATGTACAAGTACAGCAGTGAAGCATCAATGTTGGACACTGATATTATGCTGTCGATGGTGATGCAGATTACCCATGTTTAGACGGGAGCAGTCGAGATACCGGGGTCAACTTCGGACCACGGACCTTCCGGCCAGTATGTTTGCGCTTAACCACTGAGCTAGAGCTATCTTCGTAGTTTATGATTATGAACTTGGACATGCACGTAATGAAGCAGCCCGTGTGTGCTGGATGATGAATCGGACTAACTTGAACAGATGGTGAAGATTGTCAAGTTAAGGTGGTCGAGGCAAGCACAATGTATCCTTGACTAATGTTTATCTACTCCGAAGGTTTCACGCAGGATGGATGTGGCAACGCAAAACGAAGGCTTATGCCATCAAGTTGAGCGCAGTGAGATACTCGCGTCAGCCTGGATAGCGTGCACGTGGTTCCCTCTGATTAATTTCCTCACAAGAGCCGGCATGTAGCCGATCCCATTTAGCGATCGTCCTGTCACTTGTTGGCCGAACTGTTTAGTTAGCGCTTGTCTGTCCTTGCTTGCAGGGCATGCGTTGGGTGAAGATAGCTAGGGATTCTGAGGTAACCCCGTTGATGGAGTCTTGTTCCAAAATGAGTTTCAACTACGTTTAATCCAATAATTTTGGAAGGTGTAGGTACCTTGCTCTTGACTGCTTTCGCCAGGTACATGGATTTTTTTTCAACAAATACCCACTTTTCATTCACTTTTTACTGGAGCACTCTTACTCCTCGATTGTATGACATCTAAGCATCAGCTCCCATTACCGGTGCGTTGTCTATGATAACGACTTTGCTATAAAGATTCCCGCCAGAACTGCCCTCACAGATTTCTTGAGCTAAAAAGTGGCTGGAGGTAAAACACAGAATGGCTCAACTCCGAGAAAAGAAAGTTTTGTTCAGATGTGCTACACTTACGTTCCACAGGATGTGTCCGACCCTCAATATCGAACACAGTGCATTCACCGAAATAATCAACGAACATCGTCGTGTCAATGGTGGCCGACATCAATACCAATCGCAAATCACGGTGAGCTTGAATCATGTCACGCAGCAATATGAGCATGAAGTCCGTGTTCACATCACGTTCATGTATCTCATCCACTACAATGTGAGATACGCCGCGTAAACCAGACTCCATTTTTCGCGCCATTGTTCCAACGGTGCAGAACAAGATAGAGGCGTACGGTCGGGGATGAACAGTTTCGAAACGAACCGAATAACCAACGCTCATTCCGACCGCCTCGCCACGTTCATATGCGATCCGCTCAGCCAGACTGATTGCTGAAATACGCCTTGGCTGCGTCACAAGAACCGCGCACTCTGCGCCTCGGCCTGACTCGATGTAGGTGTCCAGAATAAATTGCGGGATCTAGAGTATAAAAATGGTTAAATACATAAATACCAAGTATCGATAATTTACCCGAGAACTAATGGTTGAATCTACCAGCTATCCACCTACAAATGGTGTGACAGAAACGCACCAGCCTCAGCTGCCAGAGGTTCATTTCCAAGAAAATCTGGTGGGCACGAGGAAGTACCGCATTAGATGAAAGATCTGTTTCACTACCAAACCACCATCCTCAGCTGTAAGAACCACGTACTTGTACAGTGGTTGTAGCTGCAACAGTTTCGTTCACTACGAAAAACCAAACATAATATAGGACAGTTGGAAATCTGGATCTCCAACAGTTGAACGACATGGTCTTCATGCGGTCTACGGTATTAAACGATGGAACAAAAGCTGTGCTCGAGCCTTATCAGTGGTCATGTTTCATGACCACGCTAATTCAAGACCCCTTCTTCAGGAGAAACTAGTAAAGTTGGGTAAGGAGCAGACGAGAGAACAGATTTAAGACGATAGTAAACGGTTCAAATGGTCTGTGTCCTCCAGAAACTTGAAAATACACAGAACTCACTTGAGTAGTCTTTCCACAGCCGGTTTCGCCCCGAATAAGAGTAACACGACTGTGTGTGATCGCGTCCATAATCGAGTGTCGATAGGAGTGTACTGGTAATTGCGCACGGTCGTCCAACAAGGACCGCAAATTCGGCTCATTATCGAAACGACGTAACCGCTCGTCAGCAAACCGGGCGCTCATCTCCGATAATTGCATAATAGCCTATCAAGTGATATTATGTTAGCAAAGAAGATGACTTACCTCTGGTCCTTCATCGATGTTGCAGCCAGTCCACGGATTCCAGTTAGGCAGCGGGGGACACCAAGGTATCACCTGTGATTGCTGAGCTGGTGCTTCCTCAAAGTCTGTTAAATTGTAATGCGTTATCATATTGTATGGTTGATCAGGTGATACAGTTTCAGGTAGTTGAAGAGGTGGTTGTAGTCCGAGATCATCAAGCAGGTCAGCAAGGGAACGCTCCAAACCAGGATCGAGTTTAACATCAACCGGAGGGACCTGTAAATTATGAAATTCGACTCGAGAAAAGGATGTGGTGCAGATATGGCGGACAAAAAAAAGGCAAAAAGGCTTAGGCACAAAAGTATGTGGGATACGTCTACGCTGGTCAGTCTGAACGGCGCCTAATATTGATGTCTTGTGGAAACTTCTCATCAGGAACGCGAAAGGACTTACATTACCCAGAATAAGACACATTTGTGATTAAAAGTACTCTCCTCTCCACGACTGACGCAATAAAAGTACTTACGTTTACGCAACACGGTTTGTAAAAATCTCTGAAAAAAGAATGACGAAACTGAGACGTCTTGAGGTCTTCGAAAATCGTTGTCTCGGAACCATAGCTCGTGTGGATTGGTGTCAGCGAATCCGTGATGAGGTAGTTAGAAAGCGCGCCTTCGGTTGTGCAACGCGTAATTCGATTGAAGAATGCGTCCAGTACCAGAGGCTGCGTTAGTTGGGACATGTGTTGCGTATGCCGAAGCATCGTTTGCCGAAGAGAGTACTGTTTTCCGTGCCCAATTCGGAGTGGCGTAAACAGAGAGGTGGCCAACCCCTAGCCTGGCAGAGGAGTATGGAGATCACGAAACGCTTGGGTGCTGTCGGTGCTACTCGCCTTCCAGGATGGGGACCGCGTGATCCTCACTGTGCCTGGTTGGAGACACTACAAGACATGGCTGCCAACCGATGTCAGTGGCGTTCTTGTTGTCAGTTTCTGTCCAGATTGCATGAGTGAATGTCTAAAGGTGTAGGCACCTCGGAATGATTGTGTTAAGCTAGAACTAAGTCCCTCCCCCATCCACCTTTATCCTTTTCTTTACAATAAGGCTTTCAAATAAATCATGGTTGTACGGCAGTGAAGCATCGGTGTTGAACACTGTCATGATGATGAATCCTTAAATTGAAGCCCCTAACCTGAAAAGTCATCGTTGTCCGTGAAAAACGAACACTGAGGAGAGATATATGGAGTTGTCTGTCATAGCGTGAAGGAGTTAAAAGTGTTGGTGGGAGGGGGGCTGAGTGCACACGGTTATAAGATCTAGCAATCGCTCGGTACAATTACTTCGGATGAATTTCGGAGTGGATGGGGACGCCTTAGGAGAAACAGTAGGTTTTGGACGAAGCTGGAGCCATGAATGCATGTCATTTTGGACAAAACGGGCTCTGTCCGGGATCCACATAGAGCCTGAGTGGGGAACGTTCTGCGACCAGATGAGTCCAGAAAAAGTAAATGCACTAAGAAAGCCCACGAAACTTTGTAGTGTTGGGCAAACCAAGGCTGACGACTGACTGGTTGTACTGACCAACTTACACCAGCATCCGCAAGACTGTGTGATGTGGTGGGCGAAGTCAGCAGGTTCTTTTTGGCGATCAAACAGAACAGCCGCTACTCTCAGCTGTTTCAGTGTTTCACGCCGTTGGCAGTAAAAGAAGCAAACATATGGAGGAAGAAAAGAAGCCTAATGGGCTGTATAGCTCTATCGCCTGGAAATCTTTAGGTATATTTCTAAGTGACTCACCAGAGAGCAAAACGCGCGTCACGTGAGTCGGGTAGGCTGTGAAACCTGGCTCTGGGAAATTGTCAATGATCTAGAATCCTTTCAGGAAGATTACAACGGCGAATAGTATGTATTTACTGTGATAACTACTTTCAAAACGGGTTGACCAATACAGTGCAGTTTCAGATAATTGAGATGTCAAAACAGCTGCTATGACACATGATTGTAAACCACGTTGTGTTTTGAAACTGTTTGATGGTAACACGGCTGGTTTTAGCTATTTACTGAAACTCTGTAGGGTTTATAACTTTTGAAGAACATCATCTGCCTTATAGCTTTTAACCCAAACAGACAGATGAAGTGGGTCCCTGCAGTGAAGCTCTTTAGGATGGTTAGGAAACTGAATACCTTCCTCGCGCTGGTGTTCGCGTACCCCATTGGAGGGGTTTCCCTACCGCAACGACTGTCTACTGGCCGAACGAAATTGGTCACTTTGCAGACCTTCTGACGGACAAGGGTTATATGTTCAAAACTGTACGCTTGATTATGAAACCATGGGCTCGAGATAGCTCAGTGGTTGAAGCGTGGTTCGACCCAACCCCTGCACCCCGACTAGTCCTGTCTAAGCTTGGGAAACCTGAGAGCATCTCAGCTCTCCTGCTTCCTTCGGGTGGCGTGGCCGCTATGCACTGAAAGGGTACTCCAGCTTAATTATCATTATGAAACTATTCTGTTGCGTCCTGATTAGCATTTCTACACACAGGCGCACAAATGAAACAGTATCATATATATATATATATATATTTAGCATTCAGAAGCAAGTTTAAGGGGTGGATTTAACAGCGCCAGAAAAAAAGAATCAGGTAAAACTCTCGACTCTCACCTCATCATGCTTCTTTTTCCTCTTTTGGCCAGTGAATGCTTCGATTTCGCCGGCGTGGAAGAGCTGTCGCACTAGGGATAGGCAACAAGCACGGGAAGCCATCTGTTTGTTGGAACCACACTCCCGGGCATAAAGATTCTTTCGAAGGCCGCGGGCGAAAACGGTCATTTCAGCAGCGTAACTCCTGCAATAACAGTGAAACGCAGTTTATATCCAAAGCAAAATTTTGAACAGCAAAAGATTTGAGACACTAAACCAGTACGTCACTAAAGTAGTAGTCAACAATCCAAAGCTAGTTAGCTTTCAATTCAACAGCAATATTCACAGACTAGAGTAAGCACTTTACGAATTACGGACAACCATGAGCACAAGGGAGGCTCTGGCATACTGGAGAACACGAGGACAGCAAATACAACCCATAGCATGAAATGTGCCAGTGTGAAAACCACCTAGGATTATTTCACAACTTAGAAGAACCCAAATAGAACATACACACCAATAGTTTGAAGCCGCACTGAGTTGAACGGACTTATAATAACAATAACCGTTCAGATGTGGCACCCTTTCGATGCCTGGCTGTCATGCCACTCGAAGGGAGCACGAAGGCTAAAATACTACCAGGATGCCCAAGCCTAAATAAGGGAAGTAGAAATGCAGTGATCGGTTTCGAAACACGGACCTTCCGGCCAGTGAATCCGCGCTCCAATCACTGAGCTATCTCGCACCGGACTTATAATTTGCTCAGGTAGGGTTCGGAATACTGACGTCACTAGAAAGCTGAAAAATGCTCCACGATATCAGACATCTTGCTTCCGAATCCGTTAAACTGCAATCACAGGTCAGTGATCACACCGTGAGTGAACGAAAACAATTGGTTTGCAGTCCAAAAGAAAGCAGTAAAGATCAAGAGCAGCTCAACGAGGTCAAATGTGAAATAAGTTGGGACTAATTCGGGCCACTTATGCTTTTAAAAATGTTGCCGCTGTGCCAAACACTAACATTAACAAGTTCATGAGAAAAACGTGCGTGCACTCTCAAAAACTGAGAAACTCACGTCCGTTTCCAAAACGCGAATGATACTGGATGAATCCGTCAAAGCAGCCGGGACAACACTGACTGAAAGGGACAAGGTACGGTTCACAAAAATCAAGGCCACCGATCGCTGAAACTAGGTGCTTCCTGAATAACGAGAAGCAAGAAGTTACAGCGATTGGGGCCTCGAACCCTTGGGTGATGCGATGCCCAGCATTTCGGTCTGCTACGCTATGAAACTAGCAGGCGAGCAGACCGAAATAAAGGGCATACTGACCGCAATGATACATGGACCCCCGAAAGTCCGCATGAATTAAAATTGGCGTGATTTCTGAAAAGCTTGACTTCATCTGAAAATTGAAGTCATTCTTTAGACCCAGCTAATCGTTCATCGTTGCATATGTTGGTTGATTGTGGGGTCCGGTCTGAAACGACATCAACGGACCCGCGTGGACCCAAAGCTGCGAACAAGTTGGTTGCACAGTAGGACTAGATGAGATGATGTTGCCCACTCTCGAAAATCAGACACTTGCATTTACATTTGCATCACAAATGGACGCTGTTACACGTTTTACGTTAATATACCCCAATGTCACAAGATATTTAGCCCAAGCGTGACAGGCTCCCTCCAGACAACTTGCGGTTTACATCGTGAAATGTCATGAAAAGTACCGGAGCCTTAGGAGGAAAAAAATATGAAGGCAAGCTCCACAATCGAGATAGAAAACCGTCCACAATGGAAAGGATGTATCGAATACACCATCCAGTCACATATGACTGTTACATAAACGTTCACAAGATTCGAATAGTTCCAACAACCAGCCTGCCAACCAGTTCTACATATACTGTTAAGAACTGGTGGTCACATGTAGGTGTTATCTGCGCACATCAGTTACGGACGTTTACTCTGCCCTATCTATCGTTTGGTATCTAGTCTTACTCCCTTAACTCGTCATGCGACCGCAGAGACTGTGACCTAGTTTCCCTGGCTGGCAACCCCAACCACCGTTATCAACTAGGTCCAATAAATGACTACATAAAAGGTAATTACGGTAAGTGGCAAATACAATTAACTTTAGATGAAACAGCTAAGCCATCAAGATGCTGCGCAGCCGTGAATGCAACACCAAAGAGGTAAACTAATCTTCCTGTGGAAAGTTGTGGCATGGCAAAGTTAGCCAGCCACAGAAAGCTCATCGCGGTTAACATTTGTCACCTAATGCAGTTAAACTGTTTTGATGACTTACCTGTTGTGGTCCGGACCTAAGGCGGTGTACTTGACCTCGCCGATTTGCTGTCGGGTAGCCTGAAGATATTCATTTAATCGAGCCTTGGCATTCTCCATTGACCACCCACCATGGAGGTCAGCCGTCAGATCGACCTCTTCGGCCTAGAAATGGGTAACGCAACGAAATATTAGAACCCTACCTCTTCCAACTTTTTCTGGTCGAATATCCTGTTAATGTAGGTCGAACCAGGTGTAGGTATATCGTTGTCGGATCGGGGTGCCGGCGGAGGCAGGCGTTCAAGAGGTAAATCGGTCACATTTGGTTTGAAGGGAGTAGGCTCACGCCCTGTTTCACCTGGCTTTCGACTGTAGAAGAAAACAAAGGTATCTACTTACCTGAAGGACCGGTACCTCCGAAGCTTTCACATGTCCTTCTCGAACTAAATAATTGGCGAAATCACGAGCCGCATTGGTCTGTGCATCTTTTTTGGATGTCGAATTTCCCAGTCCGACATAATCAAAAGACTCAGCCCTTAGCTATTGTGTGTTTCTATGTAAAGGGTGGGTTTACCTCACAGATGAAGCGTAGCCGCCCCCGGCCGGCAGGTTTTTGAGTAATAGTATACTCCGGGGCGATTCGTCTGGTCGACTGAAGATATGAGTAGACCCAGGATTTGATGCCTTCCGTATCGCCCATGTTGCAAATACCAAGTTATCTGAAAATGAACATGGAGATCGGAGTCGAGTGTTGTACACAAAATCAGCGACAATATGGTATCGAAGCTCTCTACCGGTAACTACGTAAAATATCCATTATCATCATTGTCAGCTGTAATAACCGCGTACTGGTCGTACAGTGGTTGTAGCTGCCGCAGTTTCGTTCACCGATGGTTTGGGGGGGAGGGGTAGATAGCTGCGCATTGCAGGCGGGAGCTGATAAACTGGTGCACGAAAGCTGCCACCTTGACGTGGTGGTCGGGCTTGAGTGCTGCAATGATCCCGCGGGCTACACTGGCTGGAACTTCGTTCCACAAAGTACAACCATGCCAGGAAAGCCAAATGGGAGCAGCCAGACCAAGAGCAACGAGACCCCGCACTACGAGTAATCGTGGCACGAGGCGGTCTGGGGGTAGTCGTACTGTCCTCTGCGACAGGAGTGTGAAGGCAGTAAGGTGTTCCCCCAGGCGACCAGCATATCCATATTTATGGAAGCAGCGATGCTGCCTTCCCCCGGGGAAGGACGGGCTAGAAAAGGTCGGCCCCAAAAAACCGCACACTCCGATCGCCCAACGGTTGACCGTGACCGCCGGCGCATTATCCAATACGGTCGAAATACTTTTAAAACCAAAGAGCCCGGTGCTGCTCAAAAGGCACCTGCTGTGCGCAGCCGCATCAGGAATGAGACAGTAATGCCTTATTCCCTGCGCCCTCGGGTTAGGCCAACCCCCTGCAGCCGAGCAGGTCAGACTATTGAGTCATCGGCTCCGGGCAGGGTCCCCAAAGAAAACCCTACATTCTCCCACTGCCTCGTGGGTCAGACTTTTGAGTCAGAGGCTAGGGTCAGGGTCCCCGAACAAAACCCTACGTCATCCCACTGCCTTGTGGGTCAGACTTTTGAGTCGAAGGCTCAAGGTGGGGTACCTCAACCAAACCCCCTTCCTCGGCCTGGGCAACCGGGAAGTATCATTTGCCCGCGCAGTTCAGCGTCCACCGATGTCCCTCCCCAACCCCTTCCCACTGCACAAGCAAACGTCGCTGGGCCATTTGACTGTCAGTCATCTGACCGAAGGGCCTTATGCTCCACGCTGCCTACAAGCCTTAAACAAAATAACACCTTTCTAAATCCACGAGATCCTTTCTATATAGGAGCTTTTAACGTCCGTACTCTATGTCAAATTGGCAAACAGGCAATGCTTGCTGAAACCTTGTACTCCCTTAAAATTGATGTATGCTGTGTCTCCGAAACACGCATACAAGACCCGAGCGTGGTTCTGCATCTCAGAACGCCAAGGATGAACTCAGCTCTTTCACATTTCTCCCTCCGTGTGTCTGGTGACCCAGAAGCGATGACTCGTGGAATATATGGCGTGGGAGTTGCACTCAGCCCCAGAGCTGAACGCGCTTTGCTGGATTGGATCCCAGTGAACAGTCGTCTCTGCGCCGTCCGGTTATCCAGTTCAATCAAGCTCAATGCCTCGCGGCATAAAAAGCGGTGCCTGTTTGTCGTGTCGGCTTATGCCCCGACGGACTGCAGTTCTGATGCGGAGAAGGATACTTTCTATCGAGAGCTATCCGGGCTCATTCGTCAGGCAAAAAGCACTGACATTGTGATCCTTGCAGGCGATTTGAATGCTCAAGTAGGTCGTCTGAGCTCCTTGGAATCACATTTGGGTGGTCATTTCGGAGTCGATGCTCGCCGCACAGACAACGGAGATCGACTCCTTCAGTTGTGTGCTGATCACTAACTGTTTCTGGCAAGTACGAACTTTCAACATAAACGTTCGCACCGCGTAACCTGGCGGCCGCCAACTACAAATCAACCGTGGACCCAGTTGGACCACGTGGCCATCAGTCACCGGTGGAGAGCCACAATTCAAGACTGCCGTTCCTTCTGGGGCACACCACTTGATTCCGATCACGCCACGGTGCGCGCACGCCTGACAGTTCGTTTCCCTTCAGGCCCTCGCAAGTCGGCAAGAAGCATGCCAATTCATCAGCTTCGAAGAACTAAGTAAAATAACACAAGAAAGATGATCACTCAGCTGTAACACCCTCTCGATGCGTAGCTGCCATGCCACCCAAATGGAGCACGAGGGCTGGGATACCGTCAAATCGGCCAAGCCTAGACAGGGGAAGTCGAAATGTAGAGGTCAGGCTCAAACCACAGATTTCCGGTCAGTAAATTCACGCTTTAACCACTTGAGCAATCTCGCCCCCTCCCAGTAACTGATTACTTGGTGCACGGCCGGCTGTACCTAGTGCCCTCCAAGACACAGGGTAGGGGGCTTGTGCTAGCCCGGTTTGAGTGGTTCAGCACATAACCGAAGAGGTCCCACCTCATTATCCGTGCGGTGAGCGTCAACCTCGAATTGGCGTTTTACGTATCTTGGAAGTTGTATTAGCTCTGATTGTAGTTTGACAGATGAGGTGAATGTG